TTCCCTTTGCAGGGGAATGGGGAGTAATGGCAGAACACAGTGCCACTGAGAGGAAGAGCCTGCTGCTGCAACAGCAGCAGAGCAGGACCTTTGTCAGGAAAGGCATGGCAGCTTTTGAAACAGCAGCAGCAACTGCTGTTGTAGACTGTCCCCTGCAAACCAGGCAGAGTGACTGCAGCTGCAGTGGGTGTGCTCAGAAGCAAACAGCATTTGGGCTGCACTACTATCCTTTTCAGCTGAGACCTAAAAGAAATTAGTCCCTCTTTTTTTCTTTGCTGTTTGTTTCAAATCCTGCCACCAGCACCTTTGCTTTAGAGGTAAGGAATGTAGTGCAGACAGGCAAAAGTAAGCATTTAGAGAGGCAAGGTGGAGAACAGCAAATCCAAATAGAAGCAACAGAACTAGAATACAACAGCAGGAGATAAGAGTACAAGGAGTGAGTAGAGTGAGTGCAGGGACACTGGCAGGCAGTTCACTTGAAAGGCTCTTGCTTGCCCATAGCATACCAGCAAGACAGAAACCAAGCTTGGCCCATGAAATCACTCCCATTCTGAGCCCCAGTTTCCCAGACAATCTTGCTCAAGCCCTTGGAAGCACAGGTGGGATCCCTGACCTCACGGCTGACAACTGCAATCTCTCCTTCTGACATTTGAGTCTCATTGATGATATCTCTCAGAGTGCCTCCGTCCATGTACTCCATCACCAGCCAAAGGTGCTTCCCCACAAAGTAACTGAAAGAAGGAAACAAGGGTGTGGAGATGAACATGCATGGCTACGTTGCTGTTTGCAAAAGACAACAGTTGATTCTTGTTTCTGGGTGCCTTTGTGACAAGGACAGAATAAAAGGAATAGACATTGCCTCTAGGCTGTGCAGGGTTTGCAGTCTGTGCAGTCTCAAGGAGAATGGCACATGTACAAAAAAGGAGATGTCTTAAATGGCCAGCAAGCAAAAAATGCACTTTTGTAACAGCCCAGATAAAAAAGCTGTCACACATGGTATCTCTGGCAATAAGCACCAAGTCTTCCTGGCATGCAGAGCAATGGAAAAAGGGCAGCAATGCAAGGGAAATCCTCTCTCTAGGGTGATTTATCAGCACTTCAAAGGTGCTCCTAAAAACTTGAAAAAGTTAAGCCCCAATCCAATGTGGAGGAAATGAATTTACAGGGTGTTTTGTTCTTAAGATAGGGCTGATCCAGATTTTTGGACAATTTTCAAGCTGCATTTGCCAGGGTAGAATAATGCAGACAAAATGCAAAAAGTGGGTTTTTGACTGTGCATGCATGAAGTATGTAAATAAATATTGGTGGGATAAAACAAGAATCCCTCACCTCTCTAAATAGGTCACAATGTTGGGGTTCCTATTCACTTTCATGACCATGAGTTCATAAGCAATTGCTTCCTTCCTGATCCGTCCTTGAACATTGATTTTCTTTATGGCCACCTAAAATGATATTGAAAATGAGTAACTTTGGAAGTTGGCATGGAGCTTCTCACATGGAGTGAGTGATTCTGGAACGGCACAGCCAAGCTGTGCCAAAGCACCTTGTGATTAGACATTGGAGTAATTAGGAAGTGACAATCCAACAGCCCATTGCTCTGCTCCCTTGGGGACAGTTACATGACACCTGACCACTGACACATTGCCTTGTCCACTTGGTAACAAAGGTGTATCAACTCTCACCCACAAAGCTCTGACCACACTCTCTGCTGCTCTGCCTGGACTTCCAAAGAAGTAATCTGTGCCTTGGTACTCTGTGGATACAGGCAGGCCTTTGGGCTTTTAGGGACACCTTGCAGATCTCTCCCTACGTACAGCTCCCAAGTGGCTAATGAGCTACCAGTAACATTCAGATGTATTTGCTGTCAGCCAGAAATGAGGATTCAGGACTCTGAAGCTGTAGCCCCAAAGAGCAGTGAGATGCTCTAAGTGAGATGCTAAACCTTGGTTTTAGCAATTGAGAGCAAGTGGGCACGTCCTTCTCTGCAAGGAACCGCTGCCCTCCTTGCCTTCCTACTGGCAGCTGAGAAGGACAAAGACTGTCCCAAGTGCAATTTGCAGGCTGGCACCAGTCTGTGCTTCTTGTGTCTTTGCTGCACAGCTCTACCCAAAGCTCCAGGCACAGATGTCACCCGTAGGGAAAGGCCTTGAGAGCAGCAGAGTCTCCAGGGGCTGTTGACATTTACCTCTCTTCCTGTGGCAATGTCAAGTGCTCTAGAAACCTCTCCAAAAGCCCTAGAAACAAAACAGCAGCAAAGAAAGGAGAAGCCATTTAGATCTTGCAGTGAAAGCCACTCCAGACAGGAGATCTCTGCTGTAAATACCTAAAAGCTGCGGGTCTGCCAGAAGGCAGATGATACATTTTCCCCTCCAGTGCATGGGCACTGGGCCTGTTTCTGAAGTGCTGGGCCTGTTCCTGCCTCAGCTCAAAAAGACAGCTTATTCCTTCATCTTGGCTATCAGTTTCTAAACTGGGCAGGTCTAACCTTGAGCACGGAGAATTTCCTTTAGCAAACTCTTGGAAAAAAATGTCCCTGAGAAGTGTCATCTGACAGCTATCATAAGGGGGTAGGTTGCTCTTTCAGGTAAGCAGGGTTCTTCTTCTGTCATTCATGTGGCAAAATTCTATGATCTTGAGACATACACAAATGCTAAGGAAATTACCACAGAGCTGTCCCACACTTGAGAGACAAGGAGATCTACCAGGTTCTGTTCCTTGCTGCAGGCAAGACCTTGGTTGGCAGCATGGAGATGTCTTTGGCAATGCCCTCTGAGCACACTTACAAATTCTGGCCAGTACTGAGAGATGGGGCAGACTAACCCTGGTGTCTAAACATGTTTGCAGCTTGTCTGACTTCCCACTTGATGGATATTCCACCAGCGAAACACCTGGCCCAAGGCTGTGTAGAAGTATCTGTGGACTCACCCGCTGCCGAGATTTTCCAGTTCAATGTATTTTCGTATGGGATTTTCCACATTCACCATTCTCCCTGAGGGAAACAAAATGCAAGATTCTCACTTTCATGCAGAAATTCCACCTTCCAGGAGATACGAAAGCCCCACTGTCTGGGGCTCTGAACCCTTTGTGGTCAGCTGGGCAGCAACCACAACAACAACAAGAGCAAGAGCAACAAGCCAGGCAGTTCTGCAGTCCAAATGGCCAGCAGAGAGACTGGTTTTGTCCAGTCCTTTGAAGACTTCTCTTGTCAGGAAATAAAGCCCAGGGAGATGCATTGCCAGGAGAGGAGGGCATCTTCTCTAGCTTGCAGCAGTTTGCCAAAAGAATGAATGCCTTTCCATCTGTAAAGCAGAGCAGCTGATGCTATACCCCATTCCAAGGGGGCTTTCAGCATCAGCACCCTCACCCTGTATGAGCAGGCTGAGCTCCAAGACGCCCTTGCCCAGGGCCCATGGGAAGAACCCCAGTGCTTCCCTTCACCCTGACAGCGCGGATCAGTGGCTGCCATTGGACTCGGCCTCTCAGCACCACACACGTCCCTCCCACCTTCCCAAGTGGGCACAGCGGGCAAGGGCAGCGAGGACAGCAGTGCTGCTCAGGCGCCGCTGTGACATGCACAGCTGCCCAGAGGAGATGCTGTCCCTCTCGGGAGTCCAGGCCATGCAGAAGCCGGCCCAGACGAGGGGCTGCTGCCTCGGGCCAGCTCGGCTCTGCAGCGGCCGGCCGGGCGGCAGCGCCACTCTCCCAGCTAAGGAAGGCTCCAGCCCCTGCAGTCACAGCAGCCCTCAGGGCCAGGGCACACAGCAAGGCTGCCAAAGGCCAAGCATGAGCACTGACAAGCCATGGCCACAAGCCACAGCCAGCCTGAGCCCCTGACAAGCTGCTGTCCCCATTCAGGACACAACGGGATTGGCTTTGGCATCAGACACACCGAGGTGTGGATCAATGCCCTTTTTTGTCTCAACAGGTGAAAGTACACACAGAATCAACTGGGATCTTTTCTCAGCCCCACCAGGTCTTTATGGGAGGGCACAACACTGGCAGCTCTTATGGGCAAGAAGTAGATTAAATGGGTTGTGCTGCAGAATCACAGAGGGCTTGATGTGTTTTCCTAGAGACTGATCTGAGCAGGGGTTGGGCCAATGGGTAGCATTCTAAGAGTCATGGGAATGATTTGAAATCAGATATGAAAAAGTGCCATGGATCTGAGGAATACACAGTGGAGGGGCTGGAGGCTCCCTCCTGAGAAACGCCTGCGGTGAAGTTTTTTCTGATCACACCATGTCTGTGTGTCTCTTGGAGATATCTTTATAAGAATAAAAGTAGGATATTAATTTCAGATTGTTATACAAGTATCTGTTTTTTCCTTGTGGGCCCAGTGAAAACTGCTCTTGCTCTCTGTTTCTGCTGTCACCTGATGTTCTTTCAAAGAAGTCCTCACTGACAAAAATACAGCATTCTCATCAAATAATGTAGTAGATGTAATAGTGGTAATAAGAATGTTCATAAAAATGACACCAGTAAGACACATGGGGCAGAACAGCTCCTTCAGGATGGAGAAAATCTCTACAAAAAAAACCCCAAAATAAGCCAGAAAAACCCCAAATTAAAATCAGAACTGCAACAAAACCACAAAACCCCAAAAGCATTCAATTTCTCTGAAGCATTTTGGTTCTGACAAGTGTAGGGAAGCCTGGAGTCTAAGCTGAATTTAGGAATCAAATGTTCTCTTCAGTTTGGCCACTAGCATGCAGCACTTGCATAGATAATTTGCTAGGTTACAGCCTTCTGCTGATGCAAGAACAATCTCTGCTTCTGCCTTTAGGAGAAAACGAAGCCCAGGCAGACCCGAGCCAGTCCAAGATTCCCTCAGAGGCAACAGGAACACCCAGAGTGCTCTCTCACTGCCTTGAAGCACAGCAGTTCCTGTGGGGAGCCCTAAATGTCTCTGTGACACCAAATTGAGGAGGAATATTTGGTACAGCTATGCTGGCACGTGCACACAATTCACTGTCCCTCAGACAAGAAATACACAAGCCATACTCAGAAGCTCCAGGAAGTCGTCCTGTAGCTGAGCAGCATCTGTGTCAGTGCTGGAGATGGATGAACAGCCCGGGCTCCACTTCTCTGGTTGGGGAACCAAGGCTCCTTTAGATGATGCTGCTGCTGCTGCTGCTGCTGTCTGCTGCTGCTGCTGCTGATGATGATGATGATGATGATGCAGCAGATTCAATAGAAGAGCCTGTGTAGATCTGAGAGTAGAAATGAGTTGGTGTCAGAAAGATGACCGGCAGAGATTGCCCTAAGTTATCTTTACAAACACAAGCCCGTAAGAAGTTGCTCTTAGCCATATGCCAAGCTCATAAACTGGATTATTTTGGATGCCCGCTTCTGAAACCAAATGGTCAAAACCAGAAGTTGGTTTTAATTGAGTTCATAGCCACCTTCATATTCCATTTTCATGGATTTTCTGAAGGATGACTGCAACAATGACCATTCCATTTCCTCCCAAGGATCCCTTTCCCCCTCCAAGGGCTTCAGACACAATTGCAGCGTCTTTGTCCAAATGTTCTACCTCCTCCCACTGAGTCCACTTTTCCTCCACCATCTTTGAGACACGCTCAACCTTCAGTATCTCTGCTTGGGACAGTTGCTGTGCCTCATGTCGACCTTGGGTCTCTTCATCACCAGTCATTTGCTGGAAGCCTTCCGAGGCTGCCAGGTGAGATGTCAACACTCCAACCTCAAGTCAAACAGAACAAAGCAGTCAGAGACTACAGCTTGTCCCTTTCTGCCAAGGCTCATTGACTGTGAGGAAAGGGAGAGAGCTGGAGAGGAGCAGATTCAACAAGGGATACAGACAGCTTGTGGCTTGTGTTCAACATCTATCTGGGTGACTGTGTTCACTTGCAAAAACACCTGAAGAAACAAGGAGAGCAGGAAGAGGCCAGCAGGAATGCATTCAGATTAGTGCTGGCAAAAGGGGAAAATGACTTGTGCCACTGTCCAGAGCAGTAGTTGGGATTCAGCACACCAGCAAGTTTCCTTCAAAGCAGCTGGGATAGACACTACAGCAGGATGGCACTGAGAGGCATCACCCCAGCTCCCTGCTGCTCTGCAGAGGAAAGGCAAGAAGGGCACAAATCCCCAGACTGCAGCCACTGCAGTAGCTATTGCTGTTTCACTCACTTGATTGTCTAGAACCTCCATCTCCTCAATCAGGTGATTTGTTTTCTCTTTGATGATTTTCATTCCTTCCTCCAGCCTCTTCTCCCTTGCCTCGATCCTAGCCCGAGCTTCCTGCAGCTCTGCCTGCAGCTTTTCCTTGAAGTTCTGTAAAGCAGAAGAGAGAGACAGCTTAATGAGTGGAGTGGCTGCCACTCTTTCACTCACCCGGTTTTGTTGGTCTCCTCTCTGCTGATGGAGCCTCATCTCCTCTTCGGTGCTCCTCATGTCTTCCTGGTGCCTTCCCTTCACTGCCACAATGGCACTCTGAGCTTCAGGCAACTCTGCCTGTGGCTCTGCCTTGATATTCTGTACACACAAATGGAGAACAAGTGACTGGGAGCTGCCATCAGGCTCAGCTTTTCCCTCTTTCAGCCTCAAAATCACACTCATTCATTCGCTTCTTTCTGCCTACTTAACCACCTCTGCTTCCACTGTAACCCTCCTGTCCCAGTGCTGATCTCTGCAGATTACAAGGCTCTGTGCTTTCAGTGCTTCTAGGACTCCTGGCCTCCTCAGTCCCAAGAGCTGTGTTTTATGCCCCTCTTCCTGCCCTGCACTCTGTCACCTGCTGAGTCAGGCTTACCTGGCCATTCTCCAGTGCCTCTTCCACCTGCTGCCCAAGCTGCTCTTCCTGCTCTCGGGCTGGCAACAGCTCTCCCTCAGTCTGGCATTGCCCCTCTGACAAATCAATCTGCTCCTGCTCTTTCTCCAGAACAACCTGCACAGAAAGCAAGAGAACATGGCCTTCAACTCCCCACACAACATTTGTGGGCCAAGACTCAAACACTGATGGGCTCACACGTTCCCAAAGCACTGTGCTGCTGCTCTCCTGGCTTGTTCTCTGCCCATGGGGAGACACAGATTCCAAAGTGACACTGGCAGTACAATCAGGGTCCAGCTGGGTCTGAATCCCCAACAGACTCTTGGGCAGCTGACAGGAAATGTGTGCCATTTCTCAAGGGTCTGCTGAGGGCCTCCCTCCCCTTCTGCTCTGTCCTCTTTGTCTTTCCATAGTCACTCACACTCAGCCCTGTCCCACAGCTCCACCCTGGCTCTGCAGGTGGCTTCCTGTGTGATTTCATCCCTTGTGAGAGACACTTGTGGAGTTCATGTTCTCCTCAGGCCTGCACCACCATTCCTGCCTTTCTGACATCTACACTCTTGTTAGAAATCCTGCTCGTTCAGGAGATAAGGATGTGTGCAATTTGATCCTCTGATGGAGGTCAGGGAGCCCCTATGGCCACCTGAGTATATGGAAGAGGACCAAGGTGTTTATCCTCCCTCTTTTGTCAGCTGAGAATTCTGAGCAGCACTAACAGAGATCCTCCAAAGGCCCCATCAACAAATGAATTGACACACCCCGAGGGATGCCAATGAAGGAAACCATGTGTCATATAATGCATGTATGACCAAAGTCTCCAAACTCCACCTAGAGCTTGAGATTGTTCCACTCCCTTAGGACATGCAGCAATTTGTTGCATAAAAAGAAGGTTTCACAGCAGAAGAGAGTGGAAAAGGAAAAGAGCTCTGAAGAGAAAAAAAAAAAACATCTCTGCAGGGGGAATCATCTCTGCCTGCTCCAGAACAGTCAATGGAACCTGTCTCTCCTCCTCTCCTCAAAGGGATGACTTTAGGTGACCTTTATACCACCAACTGCTTTGCAGCAGAGATGGGAAAATTCAAATGGAATATTTGATATTTATCAAATCGAAATAGATAGATAGGTAGATAGATAGATAGATAGATAGATAGATAGATAGATAGATAGATAGACAGACAGCTAGATCTCACTAGATAAACTCTCTTGCTATATTTTCTATCCCTACACACATCAACACTTGGTAGCCAGTGCCCCCATCAGCAGCAGTGCTGAACTTGCTCTCCGGTTGCTTCAATAAATCACACTCTTGGGGAATCTGGATTGTGTCGGTCCTTTGCTGTCAGACGCAGAGCACTGCTCTGGGAACTGCAGTCTTTGTGCATCTGTGCTCAGACAAGTTCTTCTCATGGACTCAAGCACACTGATGGTGCTGAAGTGGCTGCAATCAGAAATGAAGCCCAGCCCCTCCCAGCCTCTCTGATCTCTCAGCACCAGCTGGAATGCAAGGCCATTGATTTCCTGCTCAATTCCCAAACACAACACCTATTGATCAACCATGGGCTGCCAAAAGGCATGGGCACTGTTCACTTGAAAGTCATGTGCAAGCCCTGCTGTCTGGCCTGGCACCAGAACAGCTCCTTCTGCCCCAACACCCCCACCCCAAACTATGTGTTCTCCTGCAAAAATACTGCATTTTCCAGAACTGCCATCTTCCAAATTCAAATTCTAACAGAGTCTCTTCCAGTGCTGCAAGTGGGCAGGAAGGGTTGAGCCAAAGCACCTTTAATGGCTGCAGAAGGAGAAATTACACAGTGTTCTTCCTGCTATCAAACCAACAGACAAATAAACAAAGCAAAGAATGAAATTGTCACCCATTCCAGGGTCTAATCTTCTTGGCTGCAGGGAGGGCATGTTTGGCAGGAAAGTGGCCCAAGTGATGAGCACTGTCATGTCGGGATTGATGGAAGTCTGCTTGAAGCAGACTTGAAGCACCATGGCGCTGCCCAGCACAGGGGGACGCTCAGTGCCCTGCTCCTGCTGCCCCACTCTTGCTGACACATGGCCAGCATGCCCCAGGCCTTCTTGGCCACCTGGGCCCAAGCTGGCTCACGTTCAGCTGCTGTTGAGCGACACCCCTGGGTGCTTTGTCCCAGGCAGCTGCTCAGGCACCAAGTTGCACATTTGATTTAAAGACACCATCCAAAATTTGGAGATGCCTATCCTGTTCTTAGCAACACAAGACAGCACTCAAGGACTTGCAGCTTTATCCCAGCCTCCAGGCTCCAGGGGAGTTTTCAAAGCTGCAGACTTCAGAAAGAAAAGTCTCAACAGACATATGTAGTCTCTGGTTTTGCCTCAGAAGAGGGATTCAGAACTGTGCAGTTTGTGTCTTTTGCCACACAAGAGAAGAGTGGCCCCACATGGATTCACCGACAACAAAATCATCTCTTTGCAGCTTATCAAAAGCCAGAAGAGATGTGGGCTCAGAGCACCTGTCAGCTCTGCTACTGACTGCTCTGCCTGAAGAGGCAAAACAGCAACCTGGCAACAAAGGCACAAAAATCCCTGATTTCAGTCAGAAATTTCACATTCCCAGTGTGTCTCTGAAATGCTCCCAGGTAAGCACACCCAAGAAGGCCATGGAGACAAACCAGCCCAAAGCGCTTGTGTGGTCAGATCCACATCTTTTGTGCCTGCAGCTACTTGGCCAGTCTGTAGGGCACAGGACTCTCCAGACCACAGTGTCCTCTCCAGAATGTGACATGGCTGAGCAGAGTGTCTTTGAAATGCTCCCTCCTCTGGGCACAGGGAGCCTTCATGCTTCAGGCTGGCCCCTCTCAGAATCCCAGCAATTGGGGGCCTAAACATGACAGATCAAAAGTCATTTTTCAGCTGCCATTGCCTGGGGTGACTTGCTAGGTGCTGGCACGACTCCAGCACTCGGCAGCCTCAGCTACCAACAGCAAGTGCTGGCTGCTCAGGAACTTGCAGCTCTGCCTTGCACTAAAGACAACACCAGCCAGAAGTGGCACTTACAGGCTCTGAATGTTCAGGCTGGGGTGTGACCACTGCTGGAGGCTTGTGGTCATTTTGCTCCTCTTTGGCCTCTTCTCCAGGAGCAGAGGGAGCCAGAGAAGAGTCTGCTGTTGGTTCTGGGCTCTGTGCACAGATAGTAGTGTTAGGGACAGGCAGCTACCTATCATTTATAACCTTACTTCTATTCTGCTCTATTTCTACAACCAGCTCGACTAAAGACAAATCATCCACTTTGATAGCAATGGGATTCTAAGTCACTCCAACTAAATGAAAATGGCTTAATTCAACTGGACTGCAAATTGTCTGAATTAGATCTCCCACCCTGGCTACTATCAAGAAGCAGTGTTCTTTCTGCAAAACTGGTCTTCTGGTTCTTTTAAAGCACTGCAGTGGAAGATGAGGAAATAGGCAGCAATGCCTTTGCTATCACTGCTGCAGACATGGAAATGGATTTCCTTTCAGCCTACTCAGCTGGCCACCTACACTCTGCTGCCACAGGCCAAGCTCCCAGCTTGCTCCACAGTTCTCCAGCAGCAGGAATATCAAAGGTTCCTTTCTCACTCACCTCAGGATCGGCACCTCTGAACACACGCCTCAGGTGACCTGCAGTGAGCAAGGGAAAATGAACGCAATGGGGTGAGAAAACTGCCTGGGCTGCTGAATCCCATAGAATAAGTGAACCCAAACAGAGGGTATTTTCCTCTGACAGCATCCCTCAGGGGACACCATTCTTTCACACATCCAACAAGGAACTGGGCAATATTCTTGCTTGTGCCTACACTTTGGCCTCTTTTGCCAGTAAGTGAACACAAACTTGATCAAGAACATGCAAAGTGTTCTTTAACACTCAATTCTCGAGTCTTGTCCAACAGATAAAGTAGCTTTTGCTCTTTTCCCTTTCAGATACTTTTTTAAAAGATAAGTTGCATG